TTTTTTTTTTTTTCTCCAGGTTTTCCACATTCGACTCGGATGTTAATGCAAGGGCTGACCTTCTCAAGTTCCCTACGGAATGTTTAGAACAGACTCCCCATTGGCCAATGACATATTGCGAGTGTGACTGAAATCTTTTGAATTTGCAGTCAAAGTGCTACAACCATTTTGCGCCAACTGCATCGTGTTTTCGTGTTTTGTTATGACCAGATTAAAAGTTAGGCTAGGCTCTTGCTTAGGTGGCACCCAAGCACTCCAATTTTTCCCTAGGCGACATGCCACCATCCCCGGCGCCCAACACCACCTTCCGTCAGAGTTCCAACATACAGACCATAGCCCAGCCTTCTCAGGCTAGCCGCCGTCAGTCATCCCGCAACCAAGAGTCGTGCGTCACTAGGGTAGCATGAACAAAAGTTAAACAGACCAAATGTGTCCCTCTGATACTTAGGCTAATCTATTTTCTTAGGAATTAATGTTGCTAGTACAGTAAATTGAGGGAGATTATTCTAGGTTTTCCACTAGTTGGGTTTCGTCAAAGAGCTTATTTCGACTGAATATTCGACAAGAAAAATTTTGGTTAGGAGAGCTTTTTGTTAGTCAGGCCTGGTAATTCATTGACAATTTATATAGATTGGGTGATAACTGAACCGAAGACTGAATTTCTCTCATTTTACTTGATTTTTATTTCCCTTTGTTCTCCTTTTCTCAATCTTTTGTTGAGCGAATCAGAGCGGTCATCCTATAGAAATAGAAAGAACTACCTTTGAATGCACTTGAGCTTTTCCCTTCGAAGAGTTGATCTTTCAAACCGGGGTGCGACACCTTGATCTCATAATGGGGAATGTCGGTCGGTGTAATCACTCAGCTTGGCGGAAGAGGGTGTAGTTGTGCTATTCCTTGGATGCAGTCGTATCTCTCCAGTTGTTGTTGTTAAACGTCCGCTGTATCAATATAGAGCTTTCCCCCTGATGGTCGAATCACTCTACCGCCGCGGTTTCCATATTTTGTTATTTTTATTTTTATAAGAACAATCCCCTCTCCCCCCCGCTTTTATTGCTTTCTTAGTTTTAAATTCATTAATACAAAATTATCACAATTTAGTTTCTACTTATTGTGGGATATGCTTAATTGTCCTACTACTAGTTTTAGAGGAGGTTTGTTGATAACAAACTTTATAAATTTAAATTTACCTCGTCGCGGCTCGCGGTCAAATTTTTGAGCCGTTGTCGGGGAGTGGCGCAATTGAGTTGTGCTTTTGTTTAGTATCAATTGAATTAGAATTTATTTATGTATTTTTACTCTTTTAATCCCCATTTATCTTTTTTTGTTTTAGATGGTATTCGTGCATTTGCCTAACTTTTTCTTTTTTTCCAAAGAGTAATTTTACTTCGTCGTGGCTTGTGGTCAAAATTTTGAGTCGTTGCTGGGGAGTGGCGCAATTGAGTTGTTATTTTGTTTAGTATCAATTGAATTAAAATTTATTTATGTATTTTTACTCTTTTTTTTTGTTTATGTATTTTTACTCTTTTAATCCCCCTTTATCTTCTTTTGTTTTAGGTGGTATTCGTGCATTTGCCTAACCTTTTCTTTTATTCCAAAGAGTAATATCAACTATTACATTATTTTATTAGTAGAAATATACAAACCCAAAACTTGTACAAATTATTCTCGTTGCAAAATTGAGAAGAAATAATAATAATAATAATAATAATAATAATAATAATAATTCACGAATTGATGTGCAAGAAATGCATGGAACAATTAAGCTGCTTGTGCCGCTGCTGGGGAATCACAGAGTGGCGGGTTGGTTTTGCCGGTAACAGTGGGTTTCACATTGGAGCATATGGTGGTGATGTTTCCAGTGGTCCCGACGAAGCCAAGATCAATATCACCAATCTCCACATTCTGGCACGGTTTGCCTGAGCTGCAGGCAAATGTGACGACCTCGGCTGTGCTGGATGTTCCACGTACGTTCTTGACACTAACGTCGCTAATTTGGATTTTTGATGGGTTTGATTTGTCACACAGATTCCAAGGGCAGTATTCTTGGTCGATTATTATGGGGTTGCTCACGTTGTCCATGATCAAGTCCTCGAAATGCAGATTGCTGACTTTAAGTGTGGCTGGGGCCGATGGCCATGTCTTCACCCTAACGCCATTCTGCGTCTGTTTGAATGTGCAGTTCTTGACGTAGATTCCGGTTACGTCCTTCTCCTGAGCACCTTTGCCGAGGCTTCCAATGCTGATGCCGTGGCCGGGTCCGCAGGTGACGTTTTGGATGTGGTACTCGGAACTCTCGTCCCCAATGGAGATGCAGTCGTCCCCAGTCTCGATGATGGAATCAAGGACGCTTATCAAGGAGGAGCGCGCCAGGTGGAGCCCGTCAGTATTAATGCTCTCCCCAGGAGCTGACACGTGGAACCTCTGGAAGGTCACGTTGTGACTTGCGATGCAGTTCACGTGGAAGTTCTTGCTGTCCTTGGTAGTCACGTCATGGATTATCGAGTTGTTGATGAAATTCAAGCTCAGGTTCTACACACAAGGCATGCATTTCATTTAAGATATATACCACCGTATCCATTCATGCATGTAAATACATTTTAAATTCGAGTATTTAAGATCTTACGATGGGAAGCTTGACGCAATTTTTGTTTTTGTTGCAATCATTCTGCTTCCATGCTTCATGGCCCTGGCCGTCGAGAATGCCACCACCGGACAGGGTGAAGTAGTTGACGTAATTGATGGTGATCCATTCACCTTGTTTGTTAGGCAGTTTTTGGGGGTCGGCATAGGCTTGCACAGTGCCTTGGATTTCAAGCTCCAGAGGGGCTTTGTTTTCTGTCAACCTGACTTGGCTTAGAATCCATGTCCCCGGCGGAATCACGATCTTGCTAGCATTTTCTGACGACGAAGCTTCTTTCCAAGCAGCGAGGAGAGCCTACAACAAACGAAATTGAAGTACGTAACAATTTTTGACGAAAAATATACATTACTACTGTTGGATCTTATTTTACCTCGCTGATATCGGCACCCGGCGCAGCACCGTACTTTGTGATGTCATAAATCACAGGCTCTTGAGCTTTGCCATTCAGTGCTAGAAATGGCAAAACCAATACAACTGCAACAATGCTTTTCATTTCCATGTTGATTTTTCTTCTTCTTCTTATGTTTATTTTTTGTTGTTGTAATTGAAAGTATCACAAATTAGAGATGAATTTATAGTGCATGGAGAGGACACTAAGAATGTTTTATTCTTACCACTCATTGTCCAAGAAATAATCTCCAAAGGTTAGGATGTCCACTAAATTTATGTGGTCTGACTTCTTCTTTTCTCCATCTCCTGTATTTTGTTGATGATAACAAAATAATCTATATCTATTATAAAGGGAGGGAAATTTTTTTTTAACAAAAAAAAAAATACTTGGAATAAAATTTCCTTATACTTAATACATTTTTAATGGTAAAAATGTAAATGCAATTAAATATTTTATTGATAAAGGACTTTAAGAATAGTTTTAGTTATTAAAAAATTTCTAATCCAATAGTGCTCGGACTAAAATGTCCTTTTAATACATTTTTAATGAAAAAATGGTAAATAACAATTAAGTATTATCCAATAGAATAAGGAAAAATAGTTCATGTATTTTTTTTTTTATTTTTTATTTTTTTCTGGCTAAAGAGCACCTATCAAGTTTTGCTTGAAAGATTATTAACAATTTGAAGTAGTGGAAGCTTGTGATGCGAATATAATTATCTACTAGTATTCGACCTGTGCATTTGCACAAGTATAAATAAAGTATTGTGAGTTATCTGTATGCATATAATGATTATTAATTTTTCTTGCACTTTTTGTTGTCCAAATTTATAATAAAAGGACTTGGAATATTTTATTTTTAAAACTGCGTATATCATATTGGATGTAATGTATATTTTGGTATGTATTTTTTTTGTGAATTATTTATTATTTATAGGAATTTCAAATACGTTTTTTATTTTCCAAGAGAAGTTAATTTAAATGTAACCACAACAATAACATCTAATCACGTTAAATAGTCAACACATTAAACAGTCAACAATAACATCCAATCACGAGGGTGTAAGTAAATCAAAAGTTTAAAACGATTTTTGTAATTTTAAAGTGATTAGTGTGTTGATTATCTAATAATTAAATGAGAAGTTAAACAAATAAAAAGTAATGGTTTTTGGAGGGAAAATTTGTATTGCCACATAGGTATAATTTAATTGGTTTTATTAAATGCTCATGAGCCAGCAATTATATATATATAGATGTTGATTTTAGGCAAGAAAATAAAGGTAACATAATTAATGGGAATTATTTTTTGAATATCTTATATTAATACTAGAAAATAGAAAAATAGAGTTTTCTTATGAATTTTTTATTTCTAGATTAATGTTGAGTTGGAATTAAAAGCATAAATGTGATGTAAGAACATCTCATATATAT